ATGAAAATTAACCCCGAGCCACACTCGGGATTACTGCCAGGGAGGTTGAGGGACCACTGTTGCAAAAAAATATTCTGTATTCATATAATAGCATTCATTAAATGCATTCCTGTGTTCCCATATGCCTTTATTCTTCTCAACATTTACATGCAGGTAAAACTGACCCAGCAGAAGTGGCAGGGGTTTGGACAAACTACAACATTGCCAGGAATGCTTGAGCAGTTGCAACAGATTTAAAAAAAAATGAAGCCGTGGAAAAGATGTTTTATTTGTGTTCGTTGTACAGGCAGTAAACACAACATTCTGACGCAGAACTACAATTCAAAGAATTTTGGTAGCACCGATTTCTCCAAATTGTAGCTGTGAGTTCAGGTATAATTTCTGACTCAGAAACTTGTATTTTTCATTTTACATTTGGAGGATGGTACATGAATGCAGCATAAAGAAAATCATTGCAAGCACCTGTCACTTTTCCTATTCCATTATAGTGGTCTATTAAAGTGTATCTAACCTAAAAACAAGAATGTAATATAATGCATCTTTCCAGTTCTGAGGTTAGGTGGTTGCATTTGTTTTTTTTGCAGGCTAAGAATATTTTCAGCGAGTACAGAAAATACCTGTTAATCTGGCGATATATGCAGTGTCCCCTTCGATTCCTGCAAGATTAAAAGAAAGCACAAACATCCTTATCTTGGAGTGGAGGATACATTATTTTGCATGAAAAGTCACATCTTTGCAGAGGATATCTTTATATATAAAATTCTAATGATGAATAAAAACATAAGAAAATGTTATCATGCATGAAGAAACATGCAACAAAAATACATTTTCAGGCTTGTGTATAAGCAAACTTGCACGTGAGCTGCTACTTACCTATACCTGCGTTTTGATTCTGGATGTAGTTTTTAAGTACAAAAAAATAAAAGTTCCTCAAATGTATTTTCCTGTACCAGGAAGTAAAGCCTGTCCTGCGACATAATGGAGGTTGATTTACCAGTAAAGTCTTCCAGTATACACCTAACTTTGTGTATAAACAAGCTGCTAGTGTAGCTTGCTGTGCTTTTTTTTATCCTGTCTGCCTGAGAAGTGTGAACTGACATTACTGCCTTATAACGGAGGCAGGTAAAAATGAACATCTGGTTTTAAACTGCGGTGTTCCAAATGCAGCATACATCTGGGTCTAGTTTATATTTGTCTTATGAGCACAAATAAGGAAATCTCTACAAATTGGCAGGACATGTGTCTATAGATGCAAGGTACCTGCATCACCTCATAAATGTGTTCCTTTTATTCCTTTATTTTTATTGTATTAAGACACTGCTTTTCCACACGCTATTATGAGAGCCAGATTATTATTGTGGGGCCAGAAGTTTGTAAATAACCTGCAAGTCAACAACAAAAGAAGTGTGTCATGAGATTATTTTCTGTAGTTTCTGAAGTGATGCTTATTCTATGCATTTAGATCTAGTTTTACTCTGAGTGTAAGGCCTTGTTCACACTTAGCGCGGAGCAGGTGCAGAGCAGAGCAGTTGCAGACCGGATCAAAACTGCATCCAATGTATTCCAATGGTATTTTTTGCTCCAGTTCACATCGCAGTGTGCACTTTCAGAGCAGGTGAAAAAACTGCAGCAAGCCCTATTTTACCTGCTCTGGAACGCATGCAAACGCATCAAAAATGCATGCAAATACCCGGAACGCACTGAAAGCCCATGTTAAACTAAAAAAAAAAAGACCCAGAACGCATCAGAAACGCAGCACAACCCACTGCACTGCGTGTGCAAAAACCTGAGCGGATCTGCTCTGCATTTGGTGTGAACAAGGCCTAAATTGCTATAAGATTGGAACTAGGGGTGGTAATAATTATCTGGATTCTCCTTGCATACCTAAAGCATTCTTCATGCCAAAAAGGAAACCCTGTAAAATCATGGAAACGTCACCTAGTTTCCTAGCAACCACCCAGCAGTTTGTTCAGGCTGATGCCTGCACGGTGAGTGTACCATAACCAAATGCTGCAATTGTGTGATCAGGAAGCAACATTTCAAACCCTCGTGTCCTTTTAGTTGTTGCTGAAGGTGTGGATCTCTATATAGCACTGCACACAGCAACATCTGTATCTACAAAACAAAAAAATAATTGTGGAAAAAAGTAAGGATAAGGAAGGAAGAGTGAACAAACTGCAACTTGAACATGTCGTGGCATACATTGCACTGTGACATGATTCTTACATACACACATACTGTCTACAGAGTGCAAAGAAAGCTATCACTAAAAAACACAACTGTGTTAAAGACATGATACATCCCATGAATAGGATGTAATGTGCCTAATAATTAAAGATGATGCCTTTTTTTATATCACGCACCACTACTACATTTCCTGGAACTAGTTAATCATCAGTCACTAAAACTCATAATGCAAAAAATGTTTAGGGCTACTGCAGGAGATTGCTGGGTAAGTGGAATGAGAATTATCTCCTGGGGTATACTTGAAAAAAGAAGATTGCCCAATAACTTCTTAAAGTATATTACAACTTTTGCATCCAAAATGGGATAACACATATTGTTTATTTGCTACATGTTCCCACTCACATAGCATAACTTTAAAAAAATGTAAAAATTCTGCTTACTCACCAGCAGACAAAGCGAAAAGCATTTTGAATATCTATGGAAATGTTTCATTATTGTATACTTTGCGATAATAAAAATTGATATGCTAAAAGAAAAACATTCTGCTTACATATAACTTGCGCTTTTCTGAAAGAAAAAAAAAACGTTTTTTGAATTGAATTTTCCTCTGGAATGCAAGGGGGATATAGAGGTTGATCTTTAACTAATTTGCCCTCTCTGTACTCTGCTGGCAGATCTAATTATCAACTGTAAACGATTTTAACACTGTCTGTCCTAAGAATGGGTTAAAGATCTTAGAAGCATTGCATGTTAATGAGGGGAAGCTTAAAATGTCCTTAATCTTTCTATGGGGACAGCCAGAGTTTCTGTCACTTTAAAACTGTACAGAGAAGCTTGCAGTCTGCCCAACAGCCTATTCCATGGAAACATAGCAAATAGGAATAGGATAATATAACATATAGGGGGAGGGGCTTTCTCAAATTTGACTGCAAAAGTGGAAATACACTTGGAGAGATTGAAAGCTATTTGATATGCTAATAAAAAATATGTGTAGCCCTAGGCCTATAGGAGTGTATGGCTGTATATATCTAACTGCACTAACATGCAAATGTTAATAAGTGACTGAAGTCAAAGCTATACTTTAAATATTTAAAAGTACACTCTAGGCCAATTTAAAAGAAAAATATAATAGAAATGTATACAGGAAGCGTTGCATTTCTTTTACTTTTTATTCAGGCATTGTAACACACAAGTCCACTTTAATCCCTTGTAACATCTGTTATTTAATGATCTGAAAGCCCTGCTTGTAACAAAGCAAAGCCATTCCCAGACACAACCACTGCAGGCTTCTTGCTGTCTTTCAGATAAGGTGGCCATACACTTTACAACCATCGCAAGACCTTAGTCTTGCGATGGTTGTAAAGTAATTAAAAAAACGTACGATCTGCCCATCTTGGACAGACAGATCGTACTTGTGATCATCAGCGCCCACCGGCCCGTTCGGCATTTGTCTCCCGAGCATCATTCAAACCAGCCGAAAATCGTAGGATTTTCGGCTGGTTTTCTAGCATGCTCCTTAAAGACAAAAGACGTGCGACCGTACAGTAGAAACGGTCGCATGTCTTCATTCACACTGCACAATCTCATACGAGAATCGTACAGTGTATGGGCACCTATACAGAAAGCCTCAGTAATAAGACTATCACAACTGCCAATCCATTTAAAACCCTGTATGCACAGCGAATGCTCACTTGCCAGTGATCCTGGGAGAAACTTTTTACATTCTGGTCATAGAGGATTTCATAAATTTCAGATTGAGGTAAAATGGTTTCAATGTTTACTAGATAGTATCAGTGGATCCCTCATTAGTGTTTCCCTCATGTTGCTCTTTAACCTCCCTGGCGGTATGATTATGCAGGATTTAGCATCCCAAAGCGGTACATTGGTTTTCATGGAAATTTGTTGTTTTATATTGTAGGCCTGTAATTCTTAGTAAATCTTAGGAATAACTCACTAAATCTGTCCAAACAAGAGTCCAGTAGACATCCCGGGTATGATAAAGTTTCAAACACGAAATCATAAATTATAATATAATAAATAATTATAAGAAATTATAATATAATAAAAAAAAATGGTCCAGTAAATGGGAATTCTGGGGGTGCTGCCTGATCCGTACAACAGTCAATAGAGTACAGTAAAAGTGCAGGCAGGGCACTGGACAAAGCTCCAGGGACAAAATTGAAGTAAAATAGTTTGATAAATATATGTAATTAAACCAGATTACATTGTATTGTGTGTATTCTGTGTAAATGTAATGTTTTCACTTTTGAATTTCCCGCCGGCTCCGCCCCCCCGCTGTGACGCCTGAAAACGAAACTGAAAGCCGAATGACGGCATCGGCCAGATGCAAACAGCAGAGGACACCGCGGGCTCGCAGGGACAAGGTAAGTGACACTTTTGGGCAATCCCGAGTGTGGCTCGGGGTTACCGCTCTTGGTACTGAAAATTAACCCCGAGCCACACTCGGGAATACTGCCAGGGAGGTTAATACCTGAATGGTATACCTCAGTCCCCCCCCCCCCATTCTATTTCTTCAACATTGCTTCTGGATCTAAACCTCATTTTAGTATTTTATGTTTCTAAAAGCAATTCTTTTTATTCGATTCATATGAATTTTGCAGGAAAATTCTTATATCTTGCCAGATAGATAAACATGGTGAAGAGTCTTTTGTTTGTTGGTAAAACTACAGCTTAGAGTGAATTTATGTTTTCCCCTTGTAGGACAAAGCAAAGGGTTCATGCTAATGTGGGGGGTGGGGCATCTTACCAGACTTACCTTCCCTTTGTTCCCTAACTGCTCAGTTCTGCTGACAAGAAAAACACCTTGTACTTTCTGGTATAATGAGCATGTGACCTAATCCCCTTCCTCCCTTTGTGCACCCAGCACTGTCACAAAGGGGTGGGGAGCGAGTCCTTGGTCATGACTTGGATCTTACACAGAGCTTCCTTTCTTTGATCTGGGCAGCTGAATGGAGCAGCAAGGCAAAGCACAGAGGTTCATTTTGAATCTTAGCTAGAAAAACATACAAATGAAATTTAGAATCTCCTTGAACTTGTGAAACGCACACATTTCTGACTTCCTAAAAATCAATTTCCCCCAAATTGATACTTCAGATATTTCTAAATGCTGCAGATCATGTCATAGACTTTAATCTTTTGAGGACTGGGAGAAAAGACCTGTACTTGAGTTCCCATGTTTGCACACCTGTCATGGCCACTATAAGGAAGCCTCACTCTCTTTGTAGATACATTCAGTACTTCAGGTACTGTGGAATCTTTCAAGGAGAATTGAGGAGAGTGAAATACAGGGATTCCCTCTTCCCCTCTCTCTAATCCTCGGGGAGGGGCCGGGAACATCTGGCTGTGACTCTAGAGGTTTTGGGTCACAGGAGGGCATTAGTAAATTGTTCTCCTGTGACCCTAAAGAGAACCATGGCAAAAAAAGGTTGGGCCATAGTTCTCTTTTAACAGTGAACTTTACATTTTCTAAGTTCAATCGTATAAAAGTGACATGAGAAAAAAATATATTATTTTGGTCTGGGTTTAATACGTGTAAAAATTACTTTGACATGGCTTGTTGATATAGTTTATGTGTAACTGTAAATCTAAATATATAAATGTATGTGCACATGTATAAATATATAATAAATATACACATGGCGGAAGACAGAAATATACACATGGCGGAAGACATCTTACCAAGCAATCCATTTCTAATCTTCATGGCCAGTGCAGGTTAGCAAGATCCCATTCATAACAAGTCAGGGCAGAGAGGATTCTCCTGATAGTCAGGTGAAAGGAATTAATAAATATTATTTGAAATGTACTGTTTATTTTGGTATGGGAATATAACATCAAAATCCCTTTACCTAAAAATAAATATGTATATGATTTTATTATGACATAGGTTTTTGCATTGTTACAAAAAAACTCTCCTAGACACTTTTTACAACTAAACTGACCTTAGAACATAACTACAATCAGAAAAACTGAGTTTTTCTGGGAAAACACATACTAAATGTTTATGGAGCCCCCTAAGGCCCCATTCACACTTTCGTTTGGGCCAGTCTTACAAATTCCTCCATAAGACTCAGCTATATTTAGGTGAAAAGCTGCAGACAAGAAGCCCTATACAAAGCACTGGGAGATTGACAACGTCCGCAGCTGTTCGCATGTATACAGTTTGCGTCCAGGAGCGATCATCTGCAGGTGATTTCACAGCACATCTGATTACATGCAAATAACCATGAACAAATGGCAGCTGTTTGCATAAACACAGCTGAGGCTCACATATGAATTTGTGAGATTGTCTCATATACAAGTGTGAATGGGGCCTAAGAGTCACACATGAGTGAGTCAAACTGCAAACTGTGTGTGGCAGGATATATGCCTTTTAATCTGCCAGAAACCAAGTAAGCCCCTGCCTACCTGTTTGAGCTAACACCATGCCTCTATGTTTGTACCACTCTGTCAGCCATGCCCAGTTCCCCTAATCTGCACAAAAACAAAAAAACTCCCTCTCATCTCCATGACAGATGGGGTTCTCTGTAGTCTAAAAGAGAAACTTAGCAGGACTGATAACTTTTGATTTCAGTGCAGCACAGGCATATTTGCTGTTTTTTTTTTGTACTTGCAATATATTTAAGGAATTAAAACATAGGGAGATGTGTGAATTGCAGAGATATACTGCATATGTTTTCCACTAATGCAGAGCAATCACAAATTATTTGAGGTGTCCTGATCAGGAGATCATGTGATTTATGTATTTACGATCCGTTCCAAACCCTTGTTTGACTAATATAAATGAAGAAACCAAATGTAAGTTCTACAAGTGTTTTGAGAGTAGATTGATTGGACACTAACAAACAGAACAATTGTGGGCCAACCTAAAATAACCCCTTCTACTTCCAAGCATGCCTCAGTTTTGTGGAAAGCAGTACCCAGAGCAAGATCATGGACACCGAGGTGTGGAACATGTGTCCCCCAATGGACTCCAAGAAATGTTACAGTAAGTACAAAACCTTTTTTTTTTTTAATCCATTAAGGCAGTGCTCCCCAACCTTTTTATCGCCGCGGACCGGTCAACGTTTGATAATTTTACCGTGGCCCGCTGAGGGGGGGGACGTTGATTGTTTATATTTTAGATTGTTTTGATTTCATCATTTTAATTTAATTGTATTTAAACATGCCTTCAAAATAAAATAGTCACACCAAAAAATGAAAGCGTTAGAATTCTTCACCTATTCCACCACCGAAAATTTACCAGAGCACTGGAAGCCTGTCTGCCAATTGTCCACTCCTGGGATGTACATAGTAGACAATGCTTGCATGTGAAGTTATGCCTAGGACAGAATCCGCTCTACCTATCTTTTTGCTGCGAGACTGCTGGAGTGCCTCTCTGATGATTATTGTATTCTACTGCCATAGCACTATCTAACTGAACCCAGAACACCCTCCAGTTGGGATGTCCAGCGTTGGAGACAGCCAGATCGCCTGAAGTTCCAGAATGAGTTTTCTCTAGCATCTAAGTCCCCTGCACCAACAAGGTGCCAAGGACTACTCCTCAGCCTACAGGCTGGCGTCTTTTGCAAGGATCTCCCAAGATCTCAGAAAGACCTCCCTGACTCCAGAGCCAATTTTCTGAGCCACTAAGCTGGGGACAACCTGGTTTTCGGTGCCAGGCAAATTGGTCTGTCCAAGGACTGGACTGACTTGCAGCATGATGACAGACTGTTGTGTTGTAGGGTTCTGAAGTGGAACTACCTTGAAGGAAGCTACCATCCACCCCAGAACTGTAATGCAGAAGCAAAAAGTCAGGCAACTCGTGTACTGAAGAGTTCATGCCTGGGACAAAGACTGAAGTTTCTGCTGGGGGAAGAAAAACTCTGGCCTACCAGCACCTACACTGACTGTTCCCTCAACAGGTCATCTACATCAGCATTCTTATTTTTTTTTGTCACAGCACCCTTTTAAGTATTCCAAATCTTGAGGTTACCAGTCTAAAATGTACAAACAAATTGTGCTGTGCCCCCCAAAATCTATACCACATCCTTATCCTACATAGAGGTTTGGTATGGATTTTAAAGTACTCCGTTAACAAAATGTAGCTTATCTGTGTAACACTCAGCTGTAGATCCTAAAATCATCTATGAATTTGTGCTGGCACTGTCCTTCCTTCTGGATGGTGGCTACTTTTGTTCCCCTTGTTCCGGTGGCTACTTTAGAACTCACAAGGGGACCATGGGGAACAAAAGTAGCCACCATCCAGAAGGATTAACAGTTCCAGCATGAATTGAGAGATGATTTGAGCATCTACAGCCCAGTGATACCCAAATAAGGTAAATTTTGTTAATAGGGTACTGGAATGTATTTCTGAGATTTAACTCCTTAACTTAGTGTCACTTTAAGGGGGGCCACCTCACAAACATAAACCACGTGGAGTCCCCTCCTTTCACATCAGAAGGCCTTTTCGCATCAAAGTCCCTACCTCATATCAGAGTCCTAGTTATGCAGAACACCAGTGTGCCTGTAGCAGTATGGCAGAGCAAGTTCAGGTGGACCTCTTCTGAATGCTGGGGGAGGTTCTGGATGCAGCCTGCCCTAGATTAGCATCATGCCTTTCCATGGTGCTAGTGGTCAGCTTGCTTGCACCATGGAAATGCTCAATACTGTATGAAAATCTGAGGACACCCTTGGCAAAGCCAGAAGGTACCCTGGTTAAGAAAGACTGATTTAGATATACCACAATGGGATGCCCTGTGAGCACAGTAAAGACTAGCACAGTGACAAACTAACAGTACACTCAGGTCTGGAAAGCACCACAATGCAGAGGCCCTGTGCCCAAAGGTCACATTACAGACTAGCCCTACAATGTCCAGACCAGCAGGGTCAGGAATACGGCACCCAAAAGTCAGGTTTAGGGAAGGCCGACATGGCTAGCTGTGTGGAGAGACCATCTTAGCAGCATTATATCAGAATCTTGACCAAAAAAAATCAGCTAGAAAAAGAAAAATAATAATGGGCAGGACAAAAAAAAAATAATGCACCCAAGGCCTATTTTTACCAGACATCTAGCTCCTGAGCCGTTAACTGCTTGTCTACTCATGCAGTGCATTCTCTGCTAAGCAAAATCTGGGCAATCTTGTTTGTTGATGGACATTAAATACACAAATTAATGATGTAGTGTAGCAATTGTAACTTACCTGGCATTGTGCATGATATTGTATACACATAAAAGCTGCCTTGAGCCAGTCTAGTTCTCTCATAGGTATTTTTCTGGACAGCAGGGACTAACTTACTTTTAAACTGTGCTCATGTATGTATCAAAGTTTACATTCCCACAGTTCACAGTGTGATCACACTATCCAAGTCATGTTTTTATTTTGGATGTAATTGCAGTAGAACATACCTCAAGCAAATTAAACCTCTGCTTATAATTTTGAAAAAAATAGGGTTCAAATTAGGCCCTTTTAACAAACCAGCGAAACATAGGCAATTTGTTTTGTGCACTTACCTGTACTTTGTCACTTCAACATGTCCTGTTTAGGATATCATGTTTCCTGCTCAGATAAGCTCATTACAGCCTCTACCAGGTCAACAACTTAATCCATAGAACATAAACACATTTGTAACAAGAGAGTTTTTTAGCTTGCCTATACAGAGAACATTCTCTCTAAAGGCGGAAACGATGTGTATTACATCACTTCCACCTTTAGCTGTCATTTATCTGGCTGCTATAGCCAGAGAAGATGCTGGTGAAGCAGATCTCTTTCATCAGCTTCTTTGGGGGTCTCTAGGTGACATCAGGGGTCTTAGAGACCCCTAATGTCTCCATAAAAAGGACTTGTCACTGTATATTATCTATCTCATAGGGGGCGTGTTAGCCCCTATGTGATAGCATAAGGAGGACCTGTTTTAAGTGTAAAAAAAAACAAATACCCCAAAAAATATAAGTGCCCCGCGTGTACACACATAAAAACGTAAATACGCCTTGGGTGCGCATACCTGCGAAAACAACGATTCCACCACACGTTACATATTGCGGCAAACGTGGGAGTGTGAGCAATAATTCTAGGGCCATTATTTACTGATAACACTAAACCGATGAGCTGTAAATGCTTTTAAAGTGTCGGCTATTTTTATGCATAGTATTTGTTTGCGATTTTTTTTAGTAAAAAATAAAAACTCCAGTGGTGATTAAATACCACCAAAAGAAAGTTCTATCTGTCCCTAAAAAAAATGGTATGAATTTAATATTAGTACAGCGTTGCATGACGGAATACATGTCAGTCAAAGTACTGCATCGCTGAATACTAAAAAATGGCCTGGACAGGAAGGGGGTCATCAACTGGTTAATGTAACATGTGTTAACGCACCATAACAGTGTGAAATCGGCCTAAAGTCAAGTTTCAGTTGGTTTTAACAGCTGTGCGAGTACATTAACCCCTTCATGACTGAGCTAGTTTTCCGTTTCTGTTCATAAATGACTGACACACTTTTTACATTTTTGCTGTGTGATTCTTCCACAGCAGTAATATACTGTCTTACTAAATGTACCCACACATATTATATATAGTTTTTTAGAGGACAGATAGGGCTATATAATTATATCACATATGTGTACCTAACCCCTTACTTAGTTTAAATAAAAAAAAAAATGAGGAAAAAAACTAGAAGAAAACACTTTTTTCACAAGTTTTGATTATTATTTTTTTTAGAATTGTTTTATATGAATTATAGTATAAAAAATATATTTATATATAATTTGTATTTTCCTAATTTTGTTTTACACTTTATTTTTTTACACTTTGTAAAAAAAAATATTTTTTTAAAACTTTTTTTTTCTTGTCAGTTTATATCAAGCAGTCACTATGACTGCTTGATAAATTAACTTTTTTTTAAATTTTTGGCTATTAGGCTGATCCAAACTTAGGAACAGCTAATAATAACCTTAGAGACTGATCCAGATCTCCTAAAAGCGCTTTGATCGTGCCTAGATGATCAGAACTGATACATTTCACTCAAAAGATATGTAAAATACGGGATCGCAAATTGCAGTCCTGTATTTGCATGTAACGGCTTCATTCTTTCATTAATGAAAGGAAGAAGCTTTTACAAAAAACTTAATTATTTCATTAATGAATGCCTCAATACTGAGGCATTCATTAATGACTGGCAACTTCTGAGAATCAGCTGTTACCAGCATTACAAAGCCTGATATAACTCGTCACGCACAGTGTACGTGGCCAGTCATATAGGCACAAAGTGCCGGGACGTACACTGTACGTCTCCCGTCACGAAGGGGTTAAGCAGATGTCAGGCTGACAAGATACTGCTGTCCATAGAAAGTAAAAGTGAAAGGAGCTGTGATTTCAGTGCTCCTGTTGTGAATTTTTAAGAATAATTTTCACAATACCTATAGCTACAGAAGTGATATATGATTGCTTTTGTGTTTTTACTGCTTTTTCAAAATATGTAAATACCATATTTGCGGGCATATAAGGCGACTGGGTGTATAAGACGACCCCCTAATTTTCCACCTAAAATATAGGTTTTGGGCTATACCCATCATATAAGACTACACCACTTCCGAGGCAACACCATTTAAAAACATCATGGATGGATGTGCTGTAATACTGTATGTACGGTAGCTTCGGCTACATACAGTATACCGCGCTGAGCCAATCACGGCGAGCGATGTATTCTATTAATGAATACAAAGCCTGCTTGGATTGGCAGAGGTTGTGTACATCGCTCGCCGTGATTGGCTCAGCTACTGTATGTAGCCAAAGCTACCGCACATACAATATTACCGCACATCCAGCGGGCTGACAGATTAGGGATGTTCGTTTGGGCCAGCTTGGCCCAAACGAACTAAAGGTATACTGTGTATACCCCGTGTATAAGACGACCCCCGATTTTCAGGGGATGTTTTTAAGTATAAAAAGTAGTCTTATACGCCAGCAAATTCAGTACTGTAGTGTGCATAGTCAAGACACAAATTTGTTTTAAATCCTGGTGAGATTAGCAAGCACTATGACAGAACTATGTGCATAGAAGTGTTTCTCTTCCCAAAAACATTTCGAGCAACATTTTATTCTAATGGCATTCCCATGCAAGTTGTAAGATTTATAGAAGTTAATCTTTACTTTACCTTACTCCGGAAAACAGCTCCTTAAAAAAAAAAATATTTTTCAATCTCACTTTCACATTTTTTGTAGTTATCATTTAGAAGGGATCACGGTGAATTTCTTTGTAAAAGTGAAATTTTCGATTTTTCTTTCCTTTTGTCCATCTTGTAGAAGTATGATGAACAAAGCCAATCGAGATTTTTTTTTTTTCAAGAATAATTGAGCCCACTTCAATTTCAGACACAGATGTAGATTACATTCATAATTGAAGTTCATTTAGTATGCTTTTGGAACAATTTGACTTTTCAGAGGTTAAAATTTCAGTTAAATGGAGTTTCAAAAACACAATCACTTTATTTGCAAAATGAAATTGAACAGTGAAAATTTAGAAAGGAGATTCTTGATGTTGATCTTCCACATTCAGCTTAGTTTTGAGATCTGTGAGCTGACTGAATCCTCTGCTCAGACCTGTTTGGAATATCAACTTAGTATTCATACACAAACATTCAGTTTTTGTGACTGCTTTAAATGAGTGATCAAATAAAATCTGAATTCTGTTCTGTCACCCCGATATGGGTACTTTGTTTGGTGGCATACATGTGATAAGTTAAATTTACCTTCCTACAATGATAAGACAACTGATTTAGACATAACTGAACAGATTTGTGAAGATTATTTAAAAGAATAATAGCAAACACTGATATTTATCATTCATTTGCAATTGGCACTTGGGAGGTTCATGGGCACAACTCTGAATCAGTCAGGTGATGTAGCAGAATAACAGCCTCCAGGATCTATTCTAATGCTTTTCTCCTTACCTCTACTACTTATTTTACCTCACTAGAGTTTAACTCTTTCACTGCTGGGGTCTTTTTTTTTTTTTTTAGCACACAATAAAATGCACATTTTAGTTCTAAAGATGACTTCAAACCCCCAAAAAAGTTATATATTTTTTTCCCTGCAGAACATTTCGCAGACCCTGCAGAATGAAATGGTGGCAGTTGCAATTCTTTATATCACATAATGATTGCACTACTGTTCACCAGATCTTTTTTTTCAGTTAAAAACTTTTAAATAATTTTAGTGCACACAAACACAATATAATACCCGATTGTTTGATCAAATATAAAAGATGATGTTGCGTTGATTAAACAGATACCAAGATTGCACGCAATCGTGAAATGGCAAAAATGACGGTACCCAAAATTATCCATAGGTGATGCTTTGCAGTGCATCCATTTAGTGTTAACAGTGAATAATGCCCCTAGAATCATGCTCTCGCTCCAGCTTTTTCTTAAGTGTGAGCACCTGACACGTGAATTTACATTTGTAAGTGCTTGTACATGGGAGCGAGGGGCTTCTATATTTCAATAACATTTCATCTTTTACATTTTATTTTTTAACCTAACTTTACTGCTATCACAAGGGGGCTGAAAAGCCCCCTATGAAAGAGCATAGTGAATGTAACAGGTTCCCTTTAAGGAGATATCAGGGGTTTGTAAGACCCCTAATGTCACCTCTGCACTTTGTTGAAGCTGATCAAACACAGCCTGTGCTTAATCAGCTTCTACCCTGGCCAGAGCAACCACAGATTGACAGCTCTGAACCCAGGATTACATAGAGCTGAATGCTTCCAGGTTTATGCTTTACAGGGGAAATCACGATTGGTTTTTCACTTATCTCCCGCTGTTGTCCATCCTCTCACATTCACCATGGGGGACCTGCGCACTCAGGAGGGATAGCCGAGTATACAGTAGCAGCAGCTGGGTTGCTCTATTACTAGTGTATAGAATTGTTCAGGGGACTTAACAGTCACAATCACTTTTATGTGAAAGGCTGCAGGAAAAAAGTGTATATACATATATAAGATATCGCAGACAGACATTTGCATACATGTTTTGCAATGTTGCTGATGTAAATGTTACATCAAAGGCAGTGAAAGGGTTAAATAAGGCACAGCAATGCAGTAGAAAATTCCTTGAATTTTAAAAACTACTACTGAGAAAAGCCCACTTACACAATGCAGAGGGGGGAAAAAATGTAAACAGCGTCAGAAAACAAATCATATCAAACAGGAAAGAAAAAGTGGGGCTTTTTAGGTAGCAAGGGACAGAATCAAGAAATTACAACATGATAAAACAGAAATTCTGTATTATACATAAGTTTAAAATATTTAAAAACATGATTAATATGTGCACATTTCAAAAATAGAAAAAAAACAAACAGATCTCCAAATGAACTATTCCAGAGTTATAGTGTGAGCCTAAATTACAGACAATATTCGATATGACATGTTCTTATACTCATACAGCACACAAATGCCCTTTCTTGTATCAGGAATAGTAATTCTTAACGCGTTTCGCGCTCCAAGCACTTCCTCAGGAGAGGGAGCATATTGTCTCCAAAGGGTAATCCGTGTGTGCCTGACCACGCCAGCAGGGCAGAAGCTCAAGACTGTAGCGTGCCCTAGGACAAAAGGGACCCCCCAAGAGGTGACAGAGAAAAGGTGACAAGCAGACAACCGTATAAAGCTGAAGGGATTCAAAAGAAGTCGCCAAGAAGAAGGGGCCGTGGACTTGCGGCCTTGTGGACACTGACAGCTCGGAGGCGACTGCGGACTGTGTCTTTTTCTTGGGGACTTCTTTTGAATCGCTTCAGCTTTATACGGTTGTGCACTTGTCACCTTTTCCCTGACTTACTATTCCTGATAAAAGAAGAGGCATTTGTGTGCTGTATGAGTATAAGAACATGTCACATCGAATATTGTCTGTTATGGTCATCTAGCCTCACACTATAACTGGAATAGTTCATTTGGAGATCTGTTTTGTTTTTCTATTTTTGAAATGTGCACATATTAATCATGTTATTTCATATTTTTTACTTTTGTATAATAAAGAATTTCTGTTTTATCAAGTTGTAATTTCTTAATTCTGTCACTTGGTACCTAAAAAGCCCCACTTTTTCTTTCCTGTTTGATTTGATATATTAGGGGTGTGGTATCTTATATTCAGGATCTGGTCACGATAATTTGATTTAGGAAACAAATCATGTGTGATTAGTCTCTGATGGAGGCAGCCATGCTCTGACTTACATGCCACACCATATTTCTGGGGCAGAGAAGCTGAACCTACTTACTGAATCATTACTTTTGTATCTGCCACATGTAGGCCTACCAGGTGGTTGTTTTATCAGAGCCTAAGGACACAAGTGTTTTGTTGTGGTAGCCCCTTTCAATGCACTGGAACACCCACCCCTGGATTTTACCAGGAGCTGCAATAATGGTTTATGTGAACAAAAACTAGATGCAGAAGCTAAGCCAGAACCTACTGTGTCTCCACCATACTGCCCTGAGCTTTAGCATTCTCTTGGATGGTGGACCACATTCAAGGGGCCAATGCCAAGTAACAGGGACTACAATCTCAGCTACCATGGCCATTTAACATGGAACAGTGCAAAATTAATAGTTCAATGAGAATGTGTACATACTAGAGAATTTAGCTTAATGCGCCTTATCCATGCCAGACCAGGCAGCATTTAGGAACACCAAAAAAGATTGTAGCGATTTCCCTATTTTACCTGCAGAACCTGTACTGCAGACAGACCACAAAATACAGTGCTTTTACATGAGAACCACTAAGCACTGCTAAAGCACAATTAAACCAGGCAGAGGGTTCCATTGCCATTTATTAGGAAATTGTCAAGCTGGAGTTTTTTCTTTCTAGAAACTCTCCTTGGTCAAACGGGTATGTATGATCAGACACAAGCCCATAAGTCTGTACATGTGCCAATACAAATAACAGTTGCAGTCATTTTGTACAAATACATGCTAAGCTTTTGTATACAGTGGCCCATTGGTCACAACATACATACAACTTTTTTTTTTTATTCACAACCTTTCTCAAGGCACACAATAATCTGAATGTAAACAAGCCTTAAGCATCTGCATATGAAGCTTAAAGGCAGCCCCATGATTTTGTATTGATAATCCCTTATACAAATTCTAAAAGGGACTCTAGCAGTAATCTAATGGTACACTGCCACAAAAAAATTAAAGCACTTCAGCTATTTTCATACACTGCATTCCCTTAAATATTACAAAGAACTTTCTTCCCAAAAGACCTGAAAACAATTGCAAGGCTTGTTCTGAAATGCACGTGTCGTAAAAGGATAAATGTATTAAACATGTGAATAAGAAATGCAAAAAAATGTTTTTGGAGTTTACTGAAACCTGCTGTGTTAGGAGAATTGAAGTCACTAAGCATTTTGATTTGACTATCTTTTTACACAAAGCCCACAAGCCAGGTAACCTAAAACTGTGCCCAAGCTCTTAGAGCCTTTCCTATTGTAGCTAACAAAACATTACATTTCCAAGGTCCTAAAAATGCTTGCAGGCTTCTACATTTGGCTGACTGGCTCCTGCATTCTTCAGTCCAACCCTTGATTTAGTATGTACTCTTATTACACCTTCAAATACAGTGGCTTGCAAAGTATACATTTTTCAAGTATTGGCATTTTTCCTATTTTGTTGATTTACTAACTGGAATTAAAATTGATTTTTATTTGAACTACATGTAATGGGCATACACAAAATAGTCCAAAATGAAGTGAAATTAGGAAAATAACTTGTTTTAAAAATTATAAAAAATAAAAAACAGAAAAGTGGTGCGTACATATATATTCACCCCCTTTGCTATGAAGCCCCTACATAAGATCTGGTGCAACCAATTACCTTCAGAAATCACATAATTAATTAAATAAAGACCACCTGTGTCCAATCTTAGTGTCACATGATCTCAGTAAATATACACCTGTTCTCAAAGGCCCTGAGTCTGCAACACCACTGAGCAAGGGGCACCATGAAGACCAAGAAGCTCTCCAAACAGGTCAGGGACAAAGTTGTGTAGAAGTACAGATCAGGGTTGGGTTATAAAAAATGTTTTTGCAACAAAGAGACCAAAGACAACCTTGAGGGAGCTGCAAAGCTCCACAGCCAAAATTGGATTATCTGTCCATAGAACCACTTTAAGCTGTACACTCCACAGACCTGGCCTTCATCGAAGAGTGGCCAGAAAAAAGCCATTGCTTGCAGAAAAAAATAAGCAAACATGTTGGCTGTTCACCAAAAGGCATATGATAGACTCCCCAAACATATGGAAGAAGGTACTCTGGTCAAATGAGACAATTGAGCATTTTTGCTTTCAAGGAAATCGTATGTCTGGAGCAAACCCAAAACCTTCTATCACCCAAGAACACCATCCCTAGAGTGAAACATGGTGGTGGCAGCATCATGCTGTGGGGATGTTTTGTCATCGTCAGGGACTGTCAAACTGGTCAGAATTGAAGGAATGATGGTGCTAAATACAGGGAAATTCCTGAGGGAAACCTGTTTCAGTCTGCCACAGATTTGAGACTGGGACGGAGGGTCACCCTCCAGCAGGACAATGACCCTAAGCATACTGCTAAAGCAACACTCGAGTGGTTTAAGGGGAAACATTTAATTGTCTTGGAATAGCCTAGTCAAAGCCCAGACCTCAATTCAATTGAGAATCTGTGGAATAGTTATGTACGCTCAAGTTTTCAGTTTTTTTTTTTTACTTATTTCTTGTTGGTATCACACACAAAAAAAATTTGTAACATCAAAGTGGTAGGCATGTTGTGTAAATCAAATAACACAACCCCCCCCAAACTCCATTTTAATTCCAGGTGGTAATGCAGCAAAATAGAAAAAAAATTCAAATAGGGGGATAAATAATTTTGCAAGCCACTGTAAGTGCACAGGGGGTCTAACATTGTACACATTTGTTTAGAAAATAAGCAGTATTCTTATCACTTATTGTTTTTCACAGATTCACATATGCCAGCAGACATAAAGGGAAACTATAGTATATTTTAGATATATATGTAAAAGTAAATAGCTTCACAAACATAAATTTAGCAATGTGAGCTATGACTCTACATACCCAATCATGAGCAGATAAGCCAATTCATCTCTACTATTGCAGATCAAGTAAGCTGAGAGATTGTAATGATACAGAAACCTCTAATTTTGTGAAAATTATAAAATAATGGAAATATGATTCAACTTGCAAGTAAAAACCTTAAAAGCTGGATCAAAAATAAATCTAAAAAGTAAACCAGTTACAATTGTGCTTATTCACGATTCAGGATATTCAGTGTTACAGAGAATCTGGCACTTTGCCCTATCATGGCAAAATAACACAAGGTGGGGGGTTATCAAAACTGGAGCAAAGAGAAACCAATAAGCTTCAATCTTTAGTGTGTTCAGTTAGGACTTTAAAATTAAAAAGAGAGAAGCTGATTGGTTAGGCAACTGCTCTGGATTTTGTCTTCCCAAGCTTTGATAAAATACCCTCAATGTCTTATTCGCTCACCCCACCACTACTGATACTATCCTTTGTCACGCTCCCCCACTATGCTTTAAACGATAAGGAATTGTAAGTAGGACCTGTCCTTCCTATTCTTTCTCTTTTTGGAGAAGCTTATGTATCTGTCATCAAGAATATGTGCAATATACATTTATTCATCTTTGGAAATCATAATAGTGATTTAAGAAGCACCAGTTCACCATTAGAAAAGAACACTAATTACCTTTGCATGGGAATTACTGGAATCATTTTAGATGAGCTCATTTGTTAATTTACAGTTTCACCTGAAAAAGGTATTTGATCACTCACATATGCAGTCCATCCTCAGGATTGTGTTTGTTGCAAGAATCACAACTCAGAATTGGTTTCTCTTTTTCTCTTTTTAATAAGATACAACCATGTATGGAAATGGTGTGGTTGTTTGCAGTGGGTTTTAGTTTTGTCTCTTATGCTTTTTTTTTAAGTTTATTGAAATTATACATGAACAAGAAAACTTAATATACAGTCACAGAACAAACTGTAGAGGCTTCTAGAGCCATAACCAAACAATTTGGTAAAACTTGTTTCCCTTCCAAAAAATGTGAAGTTGTATAAAAAAAATAATAATAAAATTAATCTATACCTAGGAATGCAAAACAGTTACACAAAACCTTAAAATGCTTATAAAGACAACTATTTAAACTACAGAAGACTCATCTAGTGTTTACACTTATATACATCAATAATCCATTAAACAAAGAGAGGTTCTTCAGAAAAATAGAAAACCTTAGCTTGGGTGGGCTGTTCTGAGATATGCAGCCCTTGGCTGCATAAAAAGTCCAGGGCTGTGTGCGGGCCAAACGGAAATTGCTAACCAGCCCCTTGGAAGCACAACTTGTTGCTACGAAAGGCCATGAGGCACAAATACCCAAAGAGATCTCTAGTAAATAGTATTGATGGTCTGGAATTTCAAACCAGAGCTTTCAGTCTTGGACTTCCAACACAAGTAAATTAGCCAAGGATTGTGCATCACAGAACTCCCTAGTGTGTAATGGGCGTTTAGTATTCTTTTCTGCAGAAGTTTTCCTTTAATTTTTCTGGAGAATCTCTTTAATGGAGACTTATCATGAGAGAAGTACACAGGCAGTCGTTGCTGACCTTCTAACATTTCAGCAAGGTAAACCTCTGTCTTCAGTACTTTCAATGCATGCAGATTAGGACTGACTTCATTTGCTGAATTCTTGTTTAGAGTTAGGGGCTCAAAAAGCACTGTAGCCACAGACACCTACGCGAACAAACATGTTTACATGGAGGTCAGCCACATACATCTCTCTCAGGACAGGTGTCCTTTAAGGGACAACTAGAGAAATAAACTACAAATTCTGCACAAATGTTTACTGTCCCCAATAACAAATTCCTAAGCCTTCTAAAAAGTTTCTAAAAATCAATAAAAACACTGATATCCCCCAATTACATTGTGAGGAGTGCTATCACGTAAACTGAAATATCAGCCGTTAATCCAAAAACATTATCACAGTCTAAAAATATGTGTAAACATTTAGTTAAGCAGAAAACTCACATGTGGGGCCTTCTTTTCAGTTTAAATGAACCCCTACTTGACTTTCCATCACTGTACCAAAGCTTGCTTGGTAGACACCAATAAAACAAACTAAAAAAGATATTTACATTATAGTAATCAAACCCAAGGTCTAGTAAAAGACTCCAGTAGCTACCGAAGCCTATGTGTTTGTTGGTATGTGTGTGTGTGTGTGTATGTATATATATATATATATATATATATATATATATATATATATTTTTAGGTGTGAGAAA